CCATACACCTACACTATTTCATTCCCTAGTTTTTTTTGCATGGCTATATCCCTCTCTCATATTCTTTCTAATATACCCAAACTTTATCCTAATGACTGTAAAAAGTTAGATGTGAAAAGGTGTTTTGTTGTCTAGCTTTCACTGGCTGATTGGGAATTTTATTTTTAAAATCCTCACCAGAATATATTTTTTTTCCACTGCTTTTCAGAGAGAGTGGAAGGAGAAGAGAGAGAAACATTGATGTGAAAGAGACACATCAATTGGTTGCATGTGCCCCAGCCATGGAGCCTGCAACCGAGGTGCATGCCCTTGGCTGGAATTGAACTCAGGACCCTTCAATCTGCAGGCTGATACCCTCGTCACTGAGCCAAACCAGCTAGGGCTGATTGGGAATTTTTAAGTCACATTGTCAGAAATGCTGTTTGTACATGAGCCCCGTTTTTTCCCCAAGGGAAATAGAAACCTGAATTAAATGGCCTGCTGCAGTTAAACCCACAAAAAGATGGTAGTTTAGGCTAGAATGAGAGTATGGGAACTGAAAAAAAATGGACTGATTTGAGATGTCCCATGTTCCCACATCACATTTCTCTCTTAGGGGACATAGGAATGGCAGACCAAGACCAGACTTCTCTACAGGTGACTCTTAGGGAGAACCCCTTCCTTTGAATTTAAACAGAAACAGGATTTCCTCGGGCTTGAGTATGTACGTTTATTGAACCCCTACTATGTGCTAGAACCAACACTGCCACATTTAAATCTCACAACAACCCTAAGGTAGATGTCCTTTTCATTTCACAGATTAATCTTGGAAAGTGTAGCCGATATGAGCAAAGTAACAATTAGGGTTGGCGTTAGGAACGGAGCCCAGGTCTAGCATTCAAAGACTAGTTCGCTTCATTAAGTTATGACTCGGGGCTTCTCATGTCCTGAACTCAACTGTTCCTTTAGTCTAGTTTTCAATTTTTCAGCTACAGAGAGGGGGCTGTAAGCCTCCATGGGCCGAGGGAAAGGCTGAACTCTGTTGCTGGGACATCTGTCCAGAACTACAGAACAAGAAGCTTGTTTCCCAACGGAAGGGTTAAAAACAAACCCCGCAAGACCGGAAGTTACGTGTCGCACCCCCAGCGCCGGCCTCCCTGACCCGGTTGAGGCCGTAGCGGACTGCCCTTCCCCAAGATGGCGTCGAAGGTGGGTTCGCGACGATGGATATTGCAGCTGCTCATGCAGTTGGGCTCGGTGTTGCTCACACGCTGCCCCTTCTGGGGTTGCTTCAGCCAGCTCATGCTGTACGCCGAGAGGGCCGAGGCGCGCCGGTGAGCGGGCCCCCGCGGTGGGAGGCGGTACGGCGCGTCCCAGGAACAGGGATGCGGTGAGGTGGGGAAGAAGTGGGCCCCTGGGCTGGGAGGAATTGGGATCTCGGACTTGTTAGGAGCGCTGGTTCGGAGGAAGGTGGGCATCGAGCATAGTGCGGGGGTTATGGTCATAAGAGGGGACTCCGGTTTAGGGAAGCAGTGGAGCTGGCGGGAACTCAAGGGGCCTCAAGGCTTTTCTCCCCTTTTCATTCTGACCTCGTTGCTTACCCCCTCCCGGCTTGCAGGAAGCCCGACATTCCAGTGCCCTACTTATATTTCGACATGGGGGCGGCCGTGCTGTGCGCTAGCTTCATGTCCTTCGGCGTGAAGCGGCGCTGGTTTGCGCTGGGGGCCGCACTCCAGCTGGCCATTAGCACCTACGCTGCCTACATCGGGGGCTACGTGCACTACGGGGACTGGCTGAAGGTGAGCGCATCGGCCCTGGGGAGGACTTTGCTAGGGTGATGGGGAGCCCTAGGCGTGTGGAGATTATTAGAGACAGCAAGAATGGAAGGACCTTAGCGCCCACACAAGTCTTCCTTTCAGAGTGTGGAAAGTGAGGTCCACGGATGGGAAACAGACTTATCCAAGGTCATACCACAGTTTTCATTACAGGTGGAACCAGGATCCAGGTCACCTGGTTTCCAGAACCCTTTAAACGTTAGTTTAGTAATCTCAGACTCACAGGGCAAAAGGAACCTTGGAGAGTGCCTGGTCCAAAGACCTGATTTTATGAAATTTAAGTAATCCTAGTGCAGTATTTAAGCCTGTAAATGACAGAACCTCTGCCAGGCATTGTGGGCTTGGAGATAGGCCTGGACAAAGGCACTACCCTCAAGGAATGCTGTCTGTCCAGTAGGGGAGGCAGATGTGTGAACAGCTACAGGACAGTGCGATCAATGGTTTTTTTATGGAACAGACTATACTATATAGCCGAAAAAACATTGGGATTCTAGTCTGCAGGCCTGGGGGTGGGAAGGAGACAACCTTTGGTATCTGGGTTCTGCCACTTACTTTCTGTAGGATCTTGGACAATTTTATTAACCCCTTTGGGCCACTTCTGATAAAAAGAATTATCTATCTCTGCTGTACCTGCCCACCACACTTGGAAATGGTAAGAGAGTTCATCAAATGGAAGGGGATGCATAGAGAGGACAGTTCTGTGCTCTGGGCAGTCAGGAGATATGTGGCAGCTGCAATTCCTGACTGGGGTCCCTTTGCCTTGGCTTAGGTCCGTATGTACTCGCGCACAGTTGCCATCATTGGTGGATTTCTTGTGCTGGCTAGCGGTGCTGGGGAGCTCTACCGTCGGAAACCCCGCAGCCGTTCCCTCCAGTCCACCGGCCAGGTCTTCCTGGGCATCTACCTCATCTGTGTGGTAAGTTGGGGGACTGTTGGCTGGAGGTGCTTGATTGGGAATAAAATGTGAGCCCATGGTTGGCAGGACCCAGGGAGGTGGACAAAAGAAGGCCTTGCATGTAGGTCCTGATGGCCTGGCTCTGGGAATTGCTTCTGCCAGCTTCTGGGCCTCAGAGGTCCTCCAAGTGCCTGAGACCTGCCCAATATTCTTCCACTATTATTGCTATCAGAGAGAGAAAAGTTTGGATTGGCCATTCAATCCTAAGCCTAAGAGCCAGGATAATAACATGGCTTGTTCCTCTCATGGTTCCAGCTCCCAGAGGACTGGGAGAGGAAACAGGGGAGGTTTGGTGGGTTCAGGCTACAGTTGGGACTCTGCCACTTAGAACTGATGAGGGCGAATTAAAAGAAAAAAGCCCAGGCTGGTCAGCTCAGTTGGTTGGAGTCTCGTCCCTGTGCCGTACACCAAAAACGTTGCGGGTTCCATTCCCCATCAGGGCACATATCTAGGTTCTGGGTTTGATCCCCAAATATGGGAGGCAACAGATTGATGTTTCTCTCCCCCTTCCTTCCTCTCTCTCAAAAACCAATAAATATATCCTTGGGTGAGGATTAAAAAAAAGAATTGATAGGGGCTGCCTAGGGTGGCCAGTTGTGGTCCTCCCTAGTATCCTTAAGGGAGGCCAGTGTGGACAGGGACATGAACAGGCCCCAGGCTACTTGGCCTCATCTTAGTTACTGGGAACCATATTCCATGTGCAGAGCTCTGGATTCAGAGGTGAAAGCCCCAGTTTGACTGTGGAGAGACAGCATCTATCTTCTGAGCTCCCAGGGTGAGGAGAGACCCTAATTTCATGGAGCTCCCTAGTCTAAGGGGGGAGATGTAGATCTTACTTTCAGAGAGCCCCAAGTCTGAGAAAGGAGAGTCAGAAACCCACCTTGCAGAGGCTGACTTGCAGGTACCATCTCGGGTGAGCTTCTGACAGGCTCCTCAGCTTGTTGGACAATCTTAGAAGATTGTGTGTCTCTAGGCCTACTCACTGCAGCACAGCAAGGAGGACCGGCTAGCATATCTGAACCATCTACCAGGAGGGGAGCTCATGATCCAGCTGTTCTTCCTACTGTATGGCGTCCTGGCCCTGGCCTTCCTGTCTGGCTACTACGTGACCCTGGCTGCTCAGATTCTGGCTATACTGCTGCCACCAGTCATGCTGCTCATTGATGGCAATGTTGCCTACTGGCACAACACACGGCGTGTTGAGTTCTGGAACCAGATGAAGCTCCTTGGAGAGAGTGTGGGCATCTTTGGAGCCGCTGTCATCCTGGCCACTGATGGCTGAGTTGGACAGGGAGAGGCTGAAATGGGTGGAGGGAGCCACTGAGGGCCACCCTACCTTCCTCCTTGCTGGCCCAGTTACGTTTATTTATGCGTTTTGGTCTATTTGGTTGATCCTTTGTTCTGTGTATGTGTGTGTGTGTTGGTCTGTTCCCCAATTCCTGGGCTCAGCCCTTGATGGGAGGAGCCCTGATGATGCTGCCTTACAGGGTTTTTCCCTTTTGTTAGAAGGAGAGCTGAGGCCAGCTGCTCCCCTGGGTCTTATGTCCCAGAGAAGAGAATAAGGCAGGGCTAGGGGTAGAGGTACTGAGAGTGGGAGACAGAGGAAGGAAGACTAAGAACTGGAAGTGAGCAAAAGTGAAAAATTCCTTTTGAACCTGGCAGATGCAGCCAGGCTTTGCAATGCTTTTCGGGGACTGAGAATGAGTATGCGTGTTGACACGTGGATCAGGCCCAGGAGGAGCATAGGGGTTGAACTCTACAGAAGTCAGATGGGTTCTCAGGATATGCCAAAGGGAGAAATAACACTAGTTGTCACCTACCTTGAGAGCAGAGCAGGCCCCAGTCTACTTGGGTGTGAAGGGGTGGGGCAGGCAGCAGCCAACTTCCCGCCTCCTGCCTTCTGTTTCCAGCTCTGTGGTTGGCCTGGTGGGGTGAGTAGCCTCCCAAACACCAGACCACACAGTCCTCCAAAAATAAACATTTTATATAGACATTTGGCTTTGCTTCTGTGTTCTCCCCACGGGGCACTTTGCCATTGGCTGGGATTGATCTTGGGTTTCTTGAAACACCATATCTGGTTAAACCCCACCATGGCCCTCCCCGGAGCTTTTCCCTATTCTGAGAATTCCCACAGTCCTTTGGCTCTCTTTTCAAGGATCTTCTAATCCTCCCTGTAGCATATTCTTTTGACCTCTCACCTCAATCCATCTTGTAGCTTATTTTTCCTTCCCATTTGGTGTTAGCTGTTTTTGAAGAAATCCTTGGTGAGGGCAACTAGAGGGAGAGAACTAACATTAAGTGTCCACTATGAGGCCAAGGGTTTTACGTTTTATAGATAGAAAATGGAGACTCAGAGAAAGTAAGCAGCTTGCCTCAAGCCACAGCGCACAAACCTAGCCACAGCTGGAATGCAGGTCAGGTCTGTCTAATGCCAATGCCCAGTTGTATACTGAACATCACCCCTCTCCTGAGGGAAAACAGGCTGCTCTTAGGGTTTGGTTCTTTCACAGTCCCTGCTGTGCTATGGTGGCCTCTTAATCGACCCTCTCCCTACTCATCTGTATACCTCCTGGCAGAAAGTAGCCCCAGCAACCAGTGCCTGGCACATCATGGGAGTCAAAAATGTTCAATGAAACCTCCAGCTTTGGGCTACTGCCTGTCTACTCCCACAAAGGTGGAGGCACAACTTCTAGGGGGCTGAGGGGAAAAGATCCAAGTCTAGGCTTGGTTCTGAGCCCTGCCTGAAAGGGGGTTGGGGCTGTTGTCGGTCTGGTCTGTGGAATGGAGGATGTTTCAGAACTTAGGAGTAGGGGAGCCCCCCCAGGGGCTGCATTGAGGGACATGGTGGCAGCATTCATCCTGGGGGCCCTCCATCTCATTTAGCTCCTCTGTTCTTTCTAGGAGTCCCCTGGTTCCCCAGCCCTCAAGATCTTGCTCCTAGAGAGCCACTGCTCATTTCCTTTCAAGTGTGAGCTGACTCTTAGACAAGTATTTGCATTTTAATCAAGGCCTCCTAAGAAGTTGCAAGACCCAAAGGAATGAAAATGAGTGGTGGAATATCAGGCAGATAGGGGTGATATTTTGGGCAAGGGAGCCTCAAAACACAGCACAGAGGCCACAGAAATTGACCTCTTAAGGTTAGCCTTGAGTAGAGCCCTTGAAGGCGAGCCCTCCCCTGTCCCCCAAATCCCTAGACTGAAAGTTGAAGGCCATTTGGTTCTGGCTTTGGAGCAAATGGAGGTCTTAGATGGACCCTTCTCCTTCCTGTGCTTGTCCCACTTTGCCCCCCACCTCTGGGGCAAAGTAGAGTAGGGGCTGCTTCCTCCTCTGCAGATCATTCAGGCAACAAACCTGGTCCAGCCTGTGGCTGCCTGGAGTCACCTCCAGCAGACATGGCTTTTGGTTCATCCTGGCTGGTGGTGAGGGTCAGCTGCCTGGGTCAGAAGTTGGCTTGCAAAAGGAGTCCGGCAGCCCCTTGGCGTGGTTGACCAGCTCATAGGAGTCTCGGATATCAGCCAGGCCAAACCAGAAGAAGATCCACTGCTTGTTGGAAAAGCTGCCATCACTGTGCTTGAAGTACCTGGTGGAGGTGGTGGTGGGAGCTTTTAGTGCAAGGCCAGTGTTCATTTCTCACTGGTTCATTTATTGAGGACCTTCTGCATGCTAGACACCCTGCTCGGACCTGCTGTCTGTTACCTGATTTTACCCTCGCAGCAGCAGCTAAGAGCCTGGTGATGGTATGCTTTCACAGAGAAGTAGCTGAGGCACAAAGTTAGGTAGCTTGCCAGTCTCACAGCTATGGTTAGAATGAGGATACCCCTTGCTCTCACCACACTGCCTTGGCTGTGCAGCCAGGGAAGGGGTTCCTGTTCACCACTTGGTGCCCACAGAGCAGGGTAATGGGGAGTGAGGGGATAATTGCTGAAGGAGAGGAAAGGGGTTCTGCTGGAGATGCAGTGGGCCTGAAGTCAGAGTGGGCAATTGGGTCTGGAATAGAGCCTGAATGATCAAATTTCTCAGCTGCCACTTGCTTCCAGGAATCTACTGTTGGGGGGGTGGGGGTGGGGCTGCATAGTCTGCCTTTGAGGAAATTTCAAGCTCCACATGTGTTGTCCTGGGAAATGTTGGGCTACAGTAGGTGGGGCCTTTCCCTTGGAGAGGGATAGCTAGTGAAAGAAGGGTATGCCTAGCCTTCCTGGCTGATGGACCCTGGGGATGTGATTAATGAGGGCTGGTGAGAGAGGGGTGTGGTGCCCAGCCCAGAGCTGGGAGGGGCAGGACCTACCAGGGATTGATGGGGTTAGTTACTCTGGAGCGCCAGAAAAGCGTTTGCAGGTCGCGCCGCAGACACTCCCACAGCATCTGGCCGGAGCCTTGGCCCTGGCGGCTGGAGCTCACCACAAACTTGTCCAGATATGGGGTGCCTCCCAGTACGGGCTCCGTGGTCAGAATGGCGGCAGCGTTGTACCTGGTGAAGCGGGAAGAGTCAGGCTGGGACTTCTTTTTGGTCCGAAGTGCGGGGCTCTGTCCCTTGGTCCCTGCCCTCTGGGGCCCACAGGCTCACCCCTCAGAGACGTAGACAGAGTGCAGCCGCGTGCGCAGAGAGGCCAAGTAATCGTCACGCAGCTGCTTGCCGAAGCTGGTGTTGACCAGGTTCACCAGGCGGCCCTGGTCCAGGCTGTCTAGGCTGCGCACTCTCAGCAGCCGCTCGACATTCTTGAACAGGGTTCCAGACCCTGGGGGTGGGATGAAGGAGGAGGTTCGTTTAGCCTGAGAGCTAGGTCCCATCCACTCCTCCTTTCTGGCAGCCTGGTGGGGGTTCCAGGTAGACGGGAGCTAATGGAACAATTACCCTCTTTGGGGGATCTCCCCAATGAAATGCTTTCTGTGGTCTGTATAGATTTTGAATGTGATTTTCACTCAGGAAGATGCATTTCCCGGGCAGTTTGTCTCTGAAGTTCAGCCCACTGCCCATAGTCCCACCTTCTTAGCCTAGTCCCGCCCTCATCCCCCCCCACAACCCTGCCCCGCCCACCTCTCATACTCTGGCCAATTCCACATGGTTCCCGCCCCCAAGCTCCACCCCCTATGGTTCCTCCCGCCTCCCCAAGTCACGCCCATCTGTCTAGTTCCACTGAACTGCCAGCCCAGTCTCGTGCACCTGCTGACCTCCGCCAGGTTCAGCAAGAGCTGGAAGCCTTTGCTGTGGAGTCCCTCTCTGGTCTGCTTACTGGCGGGGAGGTCGCTTCCCCAGCTTACCCCATCCCAGGTGCTGGTGCTCACTGGCTGCCCTTACCCTTGTTGCTGAAGAGCTCCGTGAGCAGCGTGCTGGCAGCAGTGATGGCGGCCGAGGAGTGGTGGGGCAGGCGGCTGAGCACCTCCACGATGAGCCGAATCTGCTGCCGTTCCTTGGTGCTCACCCACTCGGCACTGGTCACCAGGTCCAGATCAGCGGGCAGGTTCACGTTACTCAGGACCTGCATCAGGGCTAGGGAATGAGCCTCCGACCCGCAGCGGGCCATGGACCACCCTGCCCCATAGACCTCTCCTTGCTGACCTCTTCACCTTGGCCAGAGAGGGCTCAGATCTGGGCACCACAGGCTGCGCCCCTCCCTGACACTCCACTCTCGACTCACCCAGTTTGAGAGGGGCTCAGCTAGGCTAGCAGTTATGACGACTGAAAGGAGGAGACACACCTTGTGACTGCTGTCACGCAGGCCGCCTGTGGTATTGAGGAAGATGATTTTGGTGGGCTGCAGCTCCTTGGCCAGCGCCGCAGTCACCTCCAGCGAGTTGAGGAGCACGGAGCGGCGTGCCTTCGTCTCCCCAATGGGGCACAGGATGGGGATGCTGCCTGACTCTAGGCACCACTGTAGCAGGTCGGTCTCCACGGAGATGATGCCCCCATAGCTGTGGGCCAGATGTGGTGTTCAAGAGGGCCTCCTCCAGGCCCAGTGGGCCGGGGCACGGCAGACAGGTCGCATGACCTGAGTACTAAGGGGCAGGCAGGGCTGATACTAACCTGGCATGAGGGGCTGGCTCAGCAGCGCCCAGCACTGACCCACCACCAAAAAAAGGCACAGCTGTAGCAGCGTTGTGCCGCAGCGCATCCACCAGCACCTTGCAACTCTGAGCAAGCTGTGCCTTGGCCTCCCAGAAGGAAAGACAGCCAGAGGGTGCTGTGGGAGCAGGCAGCCCCAGGACCACCAACGGCTTCATGTCCATGCGCTGCAGGAAGGCCAGTGCGAAGGCCAGGCTGGATACGCCCTGCTGACACTTAAGCACCTCCTCCTCCACCTGCAGAGGAGTGGGTGTTCAGAAGGTGCGACACTGGCCCAGACTCCTGCTGCACCCGCTTGCTCCTACACCCTGGCCCTCAGGGGCCTCTAGGTGTCCCCACCCTGCCCAGGAGTTGTCAGGCGCCATTTCTGGCTACCAGTGCCCACCTGCTCTGCCCTTTGCCCTGTTGGGTCTTGCCATCCCCTTATCTCACACTAGTGTTCCTCCCTCCACTCCTCCCTGCGACCTTGGACTCTAGGACACTTTGGGGGGAGGGGTGACAAAAGTGACTCCTGTCCAGGTTCCCCACTTGCCATCTGACCCCCTAACTGTGCCCACAGTGGGGGGCCTTCTCCAGCTTATCCCACTTGGCAGTTCCGCATTTGGACTGGGCGCCAGACTTTAGGAAAGAGCTCAGAGCCTCGCCCAGTTGGGGGCACTTGAGCCCCTTCCTGGTTCCACGGTACAGAGTCTACTGCCGGTCCTGCCTCCCTGGCGACGTGTGGCCACACAACCCCCTACTCTACTCTCCATGTGACACCGCCGATGCAGGGCTCCTCTCACCTCGATAACGGCAAAGGGCTTGTCCGCGGAGGGGTGGCAGGTCTGGAACTGCGTGAGCCAGTGGCGCGCCTCCCCGGCGCTGGCCCCGCACTGGTTCAGGAAGGCCTGGATGTCCCGCTGCACCAGCGAGCGGCCGCCTGGGGGCCCGGGAGGTTCAGGGGGCACTGGGGGTGCGGGGGGTGGCGTCCACGACGGCTCCTCGGCTGCAGGCGAGTGGGCATCGTCCTCAGCTCCCACGGCCTCCTCTAGTGCTGGCTGGGCAGGCGCCCAGGCGGTGCTGAGCAGGCGCCCTGGGCTGGCGCCCCGCGCCGACCACCGCCCCGCGCTGCCGCTCAGCCTCCGGGCGCTCCCGGTGCCTCTGGGACTGCGCAGCCTCCCCGCCGCAGCCCAGACCAACCGCATCATCGCCCTGACAACCAAGCCGGCTCGCCCCCCCACGATTGACCATCTGTCCCGAGCTCTGGGCTCTGGGGGCCTCTTAACCTGCCGCGGGGCGGGACGGGACTGGACGTGCCCAGGCTGCTGGCGGCAGGGGGCTTTGAGTCGCTTCTCGAGGACGCGTTTGAAGAGGGTCAGACCTCGGGTCAGTGGGCGGGACCCGCAGGATCCCCGCCCCTCGGGGGGAGGTAGGACGGAACCGGTTAGCGAGGGCAGGCGGCCGAGATGAAGGGTGGCGGCGTCTTTAATCTGCCAGGGCGGTTCCGGGAAGGGCTCAGCGGGCCCGCGGGTGACTTTGGGGGTCTGCGGGGGTCTTGGATGGTTAAAGGGGAGTCTAAGGCAAAAGGGGAGAGCAGGTGGCAGCCCCCCGCCCCCCGACTGAGGGAGGGGACTGGAAGGAGAGGTGGGGGAAGAGAGAAAGGAGGGTGGAGGAGTGCCAGTCCTGCTAGAGGGCGGGAATGCCTGTTCTGTCGTCCCAGCTTAAAGAAGATTGGAATCGTGAAGTTACCAGGGTTTGCCACATGCCAGCCACTGAGTATTACCTTGAATTTTGTCATATCCTCAAATCACCCCTTATTAGCATTAAAATTTTTCTTTAAACTTTTTAAACTTAAAATTTATCCGTATCGGGACTGTAACTAGAAGGCCAGAATCACTGGCCATATACAGAAGAAAGCCTCAGAATAAAGCGAGAACAGAACACTGTTATTGCATTCCAGCTAGATAGTGTTATTTCGCTCTTGGTAACACAGGAAGGGTATTATTATTATCCCCATTTTGCAGATGAGGAACCTGAGGCACAGAATATGGGAAGGCCAGCGTCACTCTGCTCATAAGCAGTGGAGTTGGTCTTTGAAGCAAAGCAGTTCTGCTCCAGATCAATGGTCTGAAGCAAGAATTCAAAAGGATTTGCAAACTTTCACAGGATGTGGTTCATCGTTACTTGTTACTCTATCCTTGTGCTGCCTCAAAGCACCTAGTGTACTATCAGTTGTACACATCCTACGCTGGGTACACTCTGATCGATGGAATCCCACCCTCTGTTTTTATAGAGGAGGAAACAGCAACTATAGAGGGGTGGTGTTTTGGCCAAGGTCACACAGCTTTAGTGGCATGACCAGACCCTAGGCATCCTACGTTCCCAGCCCCTGCTCATTCCTTCCTTGTGTACAGGACTGTGCTCCGCATGCTAGGAGACAGGCCTGGGGCTCTGCCTGAATGGGAATCAGTGGCCTGGGCCTTTTCTCTGCTGAGTATCCCAGAGGATGCTGGGTGAGTACTCGGAGCTCTTCTGGGGATCCCCCACCAACACACACATGCATGCGCTCACAGGCAGACTTTGGGCAGGGGGAGGGAGAGCCGACCATTGTGACCTCCTCCATTAACTTTTTAATTTTCCTACTTAGAAATCCTTGGTCCCATAAGGGAGTGAGGCAATGGCATGGAGGGTCTGTACCCCCTACCCTGTGGAGCCACCTCCAGGGCCACCTTTTTCTTGCCGCTTTACTGCTCTTCCCCCCTCCACCCCAACATACACTTCCCAGAACCCACCAGGGGAGGTGGTCCTAGCCCCTGGGACACAATTGTTTTCCTCCCCTCTGCCCTCAGAGCCCCCACCTCAGGTGTGCTTCCCCTCCTGGGCTCTCTGTTGGAGCCCCCCACCAGAGTGCCCATCCTCTCTGCCCCCCTGCACTCAGGATTCCTCCTCAGTCTCTCCCTTTTGTTTCTTTGGGCCTCTGGCCCTGCACTGGCTTTTCTCTACTCCTTCCCATCCAAATGCACGCCCCTTCCAGTCCTTCCCTCCAGCTGTGGCTGAGTCCTGTCTCCTGCCAACTTGGGGCCCCTATGAGGGCAAGGATAATCTCTCCCATCAAACTGGGGCTCCCTGAGGGCAGGATTGATGTCACCCTCCTCAGACTGGGGGCTTCCTGAGGGCCCACCCATTTCAGTAGCCAATAGCATCAGCCTCATTTCCCCAGGACATGGGACAGACAATGGCTGGAAGCTGCTTCCCACTCTGGGCTTCAGCCCAGAGGGCTGTGGCCCTAGGCAGCCAATGGGGCACAGGAATGCCCCAAGTAGATGATTAACTCCAGGCCCAGTGAGTGACCCTGGGTCCACTGTGTTCCCACAGCCCCTGGTTGGGGAACTAGCCCTGCTTTCTGGAAGAGATGAGTGTAGCTATATGGGCTCAACACTCAAACCTGACCACACTCCTCTGAACTGAAGGCCTCTAGGATCATTGTTGGTCTGAAGTTCCACTCGAATTTTCTTTTTTCCTCTCTGAAGCTGAGTGTTGTTTTGTTTTGTTTTTCAGAGCAAAGCCTGTTGTCACTGTCGCCCAAATTGAGTTTCTGGCTTCTCACCAGGCTCCCAGGCCTTGGGCGTTGGAGATGCTGGGAGCAGACACAACGTTCCAACCCCTCCAGACACCTACTCTCAGCAGGGACCTCAGCTCTGAGCACAGGAGCTGGTTGGAAGGGCCAAGGCTTTCTCTTTTATTAGAGCCCTCCTTGGCTGTCACTCAGTATAGTTGGGCATGGAGGTGACAGGAATCTGGGAAGGTGAGGGGCCAGGGTTGTCAACTGAGAGTCCCAATCACATCACCTGAGGGGAGACACACCCACAGATACACAGAGTACACCAATGTAGAGACCCACACCATCTACTGAGATGCACACAGATGCACAGGTTTGTGGACATGCAGGTGTACAGAGATACACAGAGTACATACCACCTATAGTCACACAGGCACTCATGCACATAGAGAGATACTTGTATGTAGATACACAACTGTACAGACACAAGTTCTGTCGGACACATTTGCATACAGAATTGTGCAGATTTACAGAGGCTTTCTCAGCACTGTGTCATATGTAGGAACACACACACACACGGAAAGATCCTGAGAACACACAAACACCCAGCTGTAGTCATTGACAACTATAGGGCCACTTAGATTTGGAGACCTGAGTGTATACTTGTGTAAACACACACACACACACACACACACACACACACACAACAGCATTTGAAGCAGACCCTCCCCGAGACCATACCCATTTGGCATGTGAGTGGTGTTCAGTAAATATTTATTGAATGAATGAATAAATGAGAGGACAGAGAGAAAAAAGTGGAGCCTGTGAAGAGGGAAGCTTGACCCTGTGGTTTACAGGGCCTGTAGGACCTGTGTTTATGGGGTGCCCTGGGACTGCCCAGACAGCCCTTTCCATCTGTGAGGAGGTGGAGGCCAGTGGGCACTGTCTCAGAGCTGCACCTGGAGGGTTTGACAAGTGGGAGTGTACAAAGGACTTTTCAGTAAACCAGTTTTTTAAGCACATACTATGTGCCAGGTACTGAACTAGGTGCTCTGAGGATGCAGTCCTATTTTTCCTGGCTGGAAGTCAGGAAGCCTGGGCTCTGCCACTTCTCAGGTTGCAAAGGGGGCATTTAACTTTTCTGAGCCTTTAACTCCTCAATTTCCTCACCTGTGAAATGGGGGAAAGAGAATAAAACTTAATCTCATTGCATGGTGAAAATGAACAGTTCTCTGTGGGTGTGCAGTCAGCAAATCCAAACTGTGGGGAACTTTATAGAATAAATGACTTGGTTTCTTCAACAAATAAATTGCAAGAAAAATAGGAGTGGGAAGGATGAATATATAGATTTTAAAATGTGTTTTTAAAGTCTATTTTAGGCCCTGGCAGGTAAGCTCAGTTGCTCTCTTTTCCTTATCCCCCTCTCTAAAATTGGTGTAAAAAAAAAAGCCTCTTTTATTTCTATTTGGATTCTGATTCAACCAGACAATAAAAAATTAGCCAGTCAAGGACATTTGAACACAAAGGATATTTGATATTATTTTAGGTGTGGCAATGATTGTGTGTTATGTTTTTAAAAATATTCCATATCTTTTAGTTTAGAGACTGAATGTTTATAGATGGAATGGTAAGATTACTTGAGTTTGCTTCAAAATAGCCCCCCTGAAGGGGAGAAAGCAGATGGGGCAACAGATGCAGCAAGACTGGCCATGAGTCTGGTGTTGATACCTGTTGAAGCTGAACAGTGGGTACCGGGAATTCATTATACTACCTCTCCACTTTTATATATGCTTCGACATCTTCAAAATAAAAACCATCCAAAGAATTGCTATATGTGCAAGTTCCCGCTCTGACATAGTGTAAATACTCAGTAAAAGTTAGTTTGCGCCCGGCCGGCTTAGCTCAGCAGTTGAGCATCGACCTAGGATCCAGGCGATCGGGGTTCGATTCCTGGTCAGGGCACATGCCCGGGTTGCGGGCTCGATCCCCAGTCGGGGGCGTGCAGGAGGCAGCCGATCAATGACTCTCTCATCATTGATGTTTCTATCTCTCTCTCTCCCTCTCCCTTCCTCTCTCTGAAATCAATAAAGACATTTAAAAAAAAAAGTTAGTTTGCTTCTTCCAGGTATCGTTTTCCTCCAAGGCATGAATCTGTGAAATACTAGATACTGCACCAATCCCTAGTGCAAGGTAGAGGAGGGAGCCCTCTGACTCATTAAGATGTTCAGTTCCAAGTGTGCTATGAGCCTCTTGTCCAGCAGGGGGCTCCTTACTCGGCTTCTCTCTCTGGCTACTGCCCTGGGGGCTTGTTAAAAGGAAGAGATTGTCATAAGCGTAAGAGAGATGCTGACAGGTTAGCATCTCAGTAGAGACCTTTCAGAGATGATTAGGAGAAAAGAGACAGGTAGGTAGGTAGATAGATGATACATAGATACATAGACAGATAGATAGATAAAAGACTGTCCAGCCCTGGTCAGGTGGCTCAGTTGGCTGGAGCATCATCCCGTACACCAAAAGGTTGTGGGTTTGATTCGATCCCAGTTCTGAACGAATATGGGAGGCAACTGACCACTGTATCTCTCTCACATCGATGTTTCTCTCTCCCATCCTCTCTCTCTAAAAATCAATAAGCATATCTCGGGTGAGAATTTTAAAAAAAGCATTTGTCCACAACCCTATGATAGGAGGGGTCTTCTTTCAGGTTACAATCTCTGGAGATTGGGGGTACTTAGCAAAGACTACTGTCTTGAAGACAATAACAGCAAACTCTTCAATGGGTACTGTTCCAAGTATGTGATATATATTAACTTATTTAAT